TTTTTTTTTTTTTTTTTTTTTTTTTTTTTTTTTTTTTTTTTTTTTTTTTTTGTTCGGGTTGTTCATGCTGTGATAATTAGACAATAGTATTAATGGATCTTATAGAACTAAGCATCATTTCGTATTTAAAAATTATATTTGTATATATAAATTTATTGTATTTATGCTTTTATTGGAATAGAGGTTTTTTTGAACAAATTTTAAGCCTAATTATGGGCGGAAATAAATTAAAGACAGCGATTCATACAAAATACTTTTCATATATAGAAAGGGAATAGTTAAATAAATTAGGAAAGAAAAAACTTAATTAACAAATTATAATGCTGTTACATAAATACATAAAAGATATTTGAGATATAAGTTGTGGGAGTTAGAGAGTTATCGGCATAGATATAGTACTTTAAAACTTATAGTATGAAATGTTAGATGAGTTAATTCAGTATTCTTCTCCTGTTTTTTTTTGTCTTCAGTAAGTAGCAGCAGAGTTTCGTTGATCAGTTCAAGTTTTGTTTTGTAGTATCTATATAAATATAGCAGTATTGTTGTTGGCAGCGGTATACTTAATGTTTTATCATTTGTATATATATATTTCTTTTTTTTTTTCTTGCTGGTGTGTGTTCAATCTTCGATAGTATATTCGGGCATCTTCTCATACTTCTGCTTGGTGGCCTCATGTGTGGTATCCACAAGCAAAACCGTATGGGAGTAGCCCATGGTAACCTGAGGTATTTTAATGCCGTCCATTTTTGGCACCTCCTTTGGCACCGTCGACGACTTCTGGAACTCACCAATGCCCAGCTCGCCAAATGTGGGTGAAGCGCCCCAGGCAATTAGAGTATCATCAGCTGATATCATAATTGAGGTATTGGCACAGCCAATTGCTGTTATGTTCCAGCCTGCACATAGAAAAAGAATCAGCAACAATTAATAAACTAACAGATATGGATGCATAGGGCATGTTAACTCACCTGCTAGATCTTGCACTGGCTTAGGATACATGTTGGCCTCGCCAGTCTTCTTGTTCTGGCCAAACAGATAGAGCAGTCCCAGCTCGTTTATAATCAAGCTGAAGGTTGAGCCGCAGTAGACGCTGCGTCCGCCACGTCCTTGAGTATCAAAGAACTTCATGAGACGCGGCACCATCTCGTCCTTGGGCTCAGCATGACCCAACCGGCCAAAGCCGCCAAAGCCCCAGCTATAGACTCGCTTCTTGGAGTCAATTGCCACCTGCAAAGTGTGTGTTAAGACATAACTTTATATATAGAATATCGTTCAATATACCGTATGATTGTTGCCGCAGGCAAAGTCGACAATCTGTACACCATCGACAGGGGTCACATGACCCTCCTTGCTCTTCTCAATGTAGAGCACAACCTTCTTCGGCGATGTCTCAAAATGGAATGACAACTTATTGGCATTCACAAAATACTTGGCATCCGTATTGTGGCCCAACTGACCGTATTCCGGCAAGCCGAACGTATGCAAATTGCCCTTAATATCGAGTATAACAGAGAATTCGGCACCGCAGCCGATGCGTATAATTGGTGGGCCACGATAATTAATTGGAGTCGGTGTAAAGATGTTGGGATGGGCATTGCCCACACCACATTGCCCAGACTTGTTCTCTCCACAGGCATAGACGGTGCCTGTGTCGGTGAGAAAGAGCGTATGATGCCGACCAGCGGCCACTTGTACGATATTCAGCTGCTCCAGTGCTGGAATGAGTGTTGGCTTCTCCACCAGCTTCATATCCTGGCTCAAGCCCAGCTGACCGCTGGGATTGCGTCCAAAGCCCAATGCCTTGCGATCCATATTGATGAGTATTGTGTGTGCTGCAGCGGGTCCACTGGCAGCATACCGATACTGCAAGTTTCGGAATACGTTAATTGAGTTTTGTTTTCGTTGCTGCGATTCTCACTTACCATCTCATCTGTAAAGCGATGAAAGCTATACAGATTGGGACGCACTTTTGTGACATTTTTGCGATCCCGCTTGCCGGTAAGATCCCAGGTCACCATGCCGGCTATCAGCAGCTGACCTGGTGTCTTCTCCAGCGTTGCCAGTAAATCCTCTGGCAGCTTACTGGGCGGATCCAGACTATCGTGTGGTATTAGCACCTCCATTTGACCGGCAGCATGTTGCTGTTGGGCGGCATCGTCGTCGGACTCATCACTGAACTCATCCTCGTAGTCTGATTCCTTCTTCTTTGGGCGACGCTTGTTGGGACCGGCCCCGTTACCACCTGCCTTGCGCTTAGCGGACATCTTTCAATTAGCAGTAATGCGTCTCTATCTTTGTCTCTCTGCAGCTGTAAAGAGACCAGCAAATATTGAGAGCCAGAACCAGAATTTGTACGCAGCAGAGCGTAGCGGTTGTTCATAGCGCTGTGTGCGTGACACGATGTGCTCACATAAACACACATATTATTTTAATCTTATATGCTGGCAGCTAGAGTATTTGTATTTGATTCCATTCCATTTGCAACTGAATTATTTAATTTAAGTATATTAACTTTTTAGCTAACAATATATTTACTGTGCTAAATTTTTGCACGCGTCGTGCTGGGAATGCTGACAAACGCTCATCTCTAATCGCAGCTCTCACGCGCTGCTTGTTCTGCTTGTGTGTGTGTGTGCAAGCGTGTACGTGCGTATGTGTTTGTGTGGTGGTTTTGCAAGCATGGAAAAACAAAATGAACGCCAACAAAGTAAGCCCGCTGCGCTGCTAACGCTGACTGCAAAGAACTTTTGAACTTCTATTGAAAAGGCACAGATATTCTCATGAAATCATAGTATATGATACTTCATCGGCAAGTAAATAATACTCCGCTTAATATCCGTTATGCCAAACGAATGATTTAGTTGCACGGCGGCTTAAATCAAATTTGAAATGTTGGCGTCACTTTTACAAAAACACTGCAAACAAAGGCAGCATGATAAGGAAACACTTGCAAAAGCTTGACAAAACATACTGCACAACCTTACTCAGATTGAAAAGATTCTCTTAGTTTTAGGCTATATTGATAGTTGATAACTTACAATTCAATCTTCACAACTAATAACTTTTCGTATACCGTTCCCGTTCCGTACGGCGTACGCAGCAAAAACAACAAAAAGCAAAGCGGTCAGACCATCAGTGTATACACAGTTGTAAATAGAATATTAACTATAAAATACCTATTGAGTACGATAGTGCGATATACCGATATTTTTGGTATCGCCAATACTAGCAGTATTGCAGTCCTAGTTATCTTTGTTATTATTAATGCAAGAATAAGAAGAGTTTGGCATTCTTGGCCAACATATAAATGAAATGGACAATGACGAGACTGAAACCACACATTATTATCTGGAATGCGAGGGTGGTGTCGAAGAATGGCATTGGAATGTAAAGAGTACCAAGCTGCTTGTCGAGCTCTATTCTGAACGACGCCACAGATTCCGTGATCCCAAAACAAGAAAACGCGCACTCTGGACAGAGATTGTGGAGGACATGGAACGTGCTGGCTACAAGGGCATCAACGAGGACATCTGCGATCGCAAGTGGCGCAACATGAAGAAAACGTACCGAACGTGTCGTGAAACATTACGCAAAAACGGACGCAAACGTGTTGTCTGGGAATATTATGACACCTTCGACGAAATGTTTCACAGCGAACAGGCGCCCGCTGACGTAAAAAACGAAAGTGGAGCATCCGAGCAGCAACAGCCGGCTCATATAGCATTGACTGATATGTGTGCATCCATAGATGCTCAAGCCCTAGGCACAGATAATGGAGCTAGCACCGATCTCTCTGTCAGCCAGGAGCAGCAGCGACAATTGTTGATTTTAGAGCGCAATCGCATCGCCGCCATACGCGAGCTGAGCAAACGGATCGACGAATCCAATGCGATACAGCGCGAACGCAATGATCTGCTGAGAGAGTATCTGACACAATTATAGAAGACGAATTAAATTTAATATTTTACTATAATTTATGTAAACGATTAACACTTGACTCTGTATTAATGGATAGGTCTTTTTCGTGTGTGTGTGTGTGTGTATTTATATTTTTAAGGATTATGGAAATTGAACATAAATAGATAATTGTAAATGTAAATTTTCAACATAAAATAGGCCCAAAAAGCGTATTCTCGCACGATCTACAACTGTATCAGCGGCTGGGTTTGACGTTCCCGGTACAACAGGATGTCCCGCATGATGACTTTACGGAACTTTTCATGATGCTGCGTGAACCGCTCGGCGGCCTTTTCCTGGCGCCGCTTCTGCTCTGCTCGATCAATATGATTGTTGTTGCTTTTTGCTAATACTGTTGATAGATGCTCAAGCCCTAGGCACAGATAATGGAGCTAGCACCGATCTCTCTGTCAGCCAGGAGCAGCAGCGACAATTGTTGATTTTAGAGCGCAATCGCATCGCCGCCATACGCGAGCTGAGCAAACGGATCGACGAATCCAATGCGATACAGCGCGAACGCAATGATCTGCTGAGAGAGTATCTGACACAATTATAGAAGACGAATTAAATTTAATATTTTACTATAATTTATGTAAACGATTAACACTTGACTCTGTATTAATGGATAGGTCTTTTTCGTGTGTGTGTGTGTGTGTATTTATATTTTTAAGGATTATGGAAATTGAACATAAATAGATAATTGTAAATGTAAATTTTCAACATAAAATAGGCCCAAAAAGCGTATTCTCGCACGATCTACAACTGTATCAGCGGCTGGGTTTGACGTTCCCGGTACAACAGGATGTCCCGCATGATGACTTTACGGAACTTTTCATGATGCTGCGTGAACCGCTCGGCGGCCTTTTCCTGGCGCCGCTTCTGCTCTGCTCGATCAATATGATTGTTGTTGCTTTTTGCTAATACTGTTGATCTGGCCGGTGATATGGGCAGGTCATCATAGAAAATGCTCGGCGATGGGCCAGTTGGTGCCTGACGTCGGCGTGTACGAGGCGTTGAATGTGGGCTGCCTGCACTGCCATTGCCGTTATCTGAAATATTGATCAACTGTTTGTAGCCTCGGTTTGGAAATATGCAGCAGATCTTTGCAATGAGCTCGTAGAGCGGCATAGCACAGCCAGCGTACGAAAACAACTGAGATAAGGCTGAGTTGAGAAAGAAATGCGCGCACGTTTTTGTCTTTTTTCCTGCACTGCAAATCGTTTCCCTAAGCGCAATTCATATCGCATTGGGTATGGCACTTTCAAGAGTAATTATGTAACACATTTAACAAAAGGCCTACATAGTATTTTTTTTTTAATGGACTAAACAAAATGTTGATACTTTTGATATTGATGTTCAACTTTTTAAGTTTTCCAACTATCTGCATTGACCCTGAAATTATTGTACTACCGTCGTCTATATACACATATATATGTAAATAATACATATAAATTTATCTTCCTACTTGCTATAAAGAGCAGTTATATAGACAATAGCTTAACAATTTCTCTTTTACAGGGTATCATAAATGTTAATTTGCTGCATTAAGTAAATTTGTCAAGCTACCCAGGGTATCTGCACCACCGGCTACCTCAATAGCTGTCGGTCATTGTCGCTTTCCTTCGTTTGCCGTGTAACGGTTGCTCCTAAGGTTAGAATCTTCACGAAACAGCTGCCGCGTGACGCAGTCCATGACGTCATCGATGACTTACCTATTTTGTGCAGCTCCTGTTGCGCTGCTTTTGCTTTGCCCACCGCATAGTAGTCTGAGATGTAAGGCATGGGAGATATGACCACACCGCCTCGTACACCCCCCGCTTCGATTGGCGGCGGCGGTGGTGGGCGATTGAAGGGATTTGGACGTCTGGGTGGTGGGACAGGTTTGCCTTGTCCATCGGTTACCGTTTGATGTGGATCACTACGCTCGCTGCGCATCTCTGCAACAGAATGTAATTAGTAGAATTTATAGTGAATAGATGTTATTGTTGCTTACTGTTGCGAGAGTACTCGATCTCTTGCAGCTGGCGTTGCAGCTCAGCGACAATGATCCGCTTGTACTCGTAGCCGGCGCATGTCAAAGCCTTCATCCAGGCCTCCATGCATTCTTGTGTATCGGCAGCTAGTATATAGGTGCGATTGCCATTGAAGGCGATCTCAAAGCAGTAGTTGTCGGCATCCGATTCCTCCGATAGCTCTATGGTGCACCCCTCCACTATAATCAGACCTAGCGGCTCCTTGTCCAGGCGCGACTCGAAATAGAATAGCAAATTGCCTTTGAGCACAAAATAGCGTCGTTGAAATGCTTTATTGACTACACCCCGCTTGTTGAGGAAACCTGTGAGAGTGATTAGTAATAGCACAAATATGTTTGGTCATTATTTTTTTTATTACTATTTAGATTATTCAATTTATTTACCCTCCATGTCAAACGGTGGCGTTCGGGCAAAAACACATAGGTTCTTTTCGTTGATTTTCATATCCGCTCATTAACTAAAAATGTTTGTTCCGTGAAAACATAAAAAATGGGCCTTGTTTGCTTTTATTTGGCAATATTCAATATTTCATTCACATATCTATGTCAATAAATGCGTCGTACATCAATTCATAACCACAGCCAAAAACAGCTGTTTCTGACATCAAACAATGCTGCCACGCCAAATTTGGATAAATAATTATGTGCTCCTAGAGGTGGTTGTTGAATGTTCCAAGTTCCGATTGTTAAAAAATTTAAATTTTCTTAGAAATTTCTTTGCTACTTTATTAACAAAACCCGAATAATGTGGATGACCATAAATTTATAATAGTATTAAATGAGGTAATTCAATTAAGTACTTAATAAAATACTAATCTAGCTTCCTATAGAAACTCATCTCCAAAATAATCGACAATTTGCATACATATTGTATGTATTTCTATCTCTAGCTGACGCTAGGTTGGTTAGTGCGCTAGGTCAAGCTGATATCATAAAACATTTCTGGGATAAAATGTCGTATTTATTAACGGAAATTGCCCTTGAAATGCTGGGCTATAAGTTTTACGACACAAATGGTGTATTCCATTTGATAAACTTTCAACAATCATCAGAATCTGCCCAATCCGAAGGCCAGACGCATCCGCAAGAACCCTCGTTAGCGGAGTTTATTGACCAGCCAACGCCCGCCGACTCCGAGAAGAATACTGGACAAAAGGGCGAACAGGCACAGCCATCAACTGTTCCCTCAGCTATACAACTGCGTGGCGCTCCCGTTCGTGCATTGGCTAAAATGATGGAATTCCAAAACGATAAACAGCCGCAGAAGCAACAAACACAGACGCGGCCGCAAGTGCAGCCCCAGCACCAGCAACAAAAGCCGCTGAAAAGATTATCCAGTTCGTCAGTTGAGGCTGAACCAACGAATACAACTAATTCAACCCGTCGAACACCCACCAAAGCTTTGACCAATATTTTAAGCTATGAAAGGTTTAAAATACGCAATCAAATAATAACGCGTATGGAAAAAACAGTGAAGAAAGAACCGGGAACACCCAGTCAGGAGACGCTGCAAGAATGCCTTATGGCTGAGTTGAAGAAATTAGTGAATGACGCTAACGATATGCAAGAGTTTCGGCATTTCTTGGAGGACCGTCTAAAACGCATTGATTCTCGTCCATATGAAATCTACGTCCGAACGTTTCCTGCGGAATAATTTTAGCATACATTTAAGTTACTGTGTACAAATATCATTAAATGGCGTACTTATAAAGTTAACATTTTAGTTAGTATTAATTCATTTATTACGTATATTTACATTTAAGCAACCGATTCAGAGTTGTTCAACTAACGTTGCTGATATCTAACGATGTTTTTGAAGAGTGGCCATATAATTATTTATTGTTATCGATTCACCGATTAAACCGACAGACACATCGATAGCCGAACAGTCACACTACTCGCAGAACACCTGAGTAAAGGTCGGTCTTCTGTATTTGTCACCAAAAAACTTCTGAAATTTTTTCTCAAAATTTTTTTGTAAAACGAACCTAAACACAACATTTTTTTACATTTTATTTTGTCCTGTTGCCTCGGCGATATACAGGCAGCCCCTAGTGTCGCGTCTCGATTGCGAAACAACAGCAACGACGAGGAGAGGAATACCTATAAAAGAGAGAAAAGAGGTGAACGCCAGCGACGCTTGCATAATGAAAATCTGGACGTCCGAGCATGTCTTCAACCATCCATGGGAGACTGTTACCCAGGCCGCCTGGCGAAAGTACCCAAATCCAATGACACCGTCTATTATTGGCACCGATGTCGTGGAGCGTAGAGTGGTAAATGGAGTTCTGCACACTCACCGTCTCGTTCAATCCAAATGGTATTTCCCGAAGTGGACGCACGCACTGATTGGCACGGCGAAGACTTGTTTTGCCAGCGAACGTTCCACTGTGGATCCGCAGCGTAAACAGATGGTCTTAAAGACAAATAACTTAACATTTTGCCGCAATATCAGCGTTGACGAGGTTCTCTACTACGAGCCACATCCGGGCGATGCAACCAAAACGCTGCTCAAACAAGAGGCAACAGTAACAGTCTATGGCGTGCCTCTCTCACATTATATGGAAGATTTGCTAACCTCCACGATTAGTTCGAATGCGGGCAAGGGTCGCCAGGGACTCGAATGGGTCATTGGCCTGATCAATACGGAGGTGAAGAGCATTGCCGATTCAGCTGCACGGGGCACAGACGAACTGATACACAGTACGAGGCGTTCCATTGACGAGGTCACGGAGAGCGCGCGAAAGAGTATGGATGAGATTGGCGCACAGGCGGCCAAAGCGGCGAAAGCCATGCACATAACATAGATGCTATCGATAACGAGCATAGATAACCATATTTGTAAGTGGAGCCGTTATTTTGGACGTAGTGAATTGGAACTTACTGTTGTAGGCGCATCGTCGGGTACGCTGCTTTGTCGTAGTACAACAAAAAAAAAACAACACGCATAAAATAATCGAACGAACCTTAAACACACACACACACAAAACAATAATTCAACATAATCTTCTCTTTGAAAAATAGCAAACGAACTATTTTAATCGTCTGCTTTGATATATTTTTTAAAATCAAATTTAAAAAAGAAAAAATACCAAAAAAACAAAAAAATTCGAACCTTTTCCATATGATAGCTGCGCGTTGTTCGGATTGCTAATACGAGTGTCAGCCAGTTAGGCAACATAATCCATACAACAACAACAGCATCCAAAACAACAATGTCAACAGATAAAGCAGCAGCAACAACAGAGGGAGCAGCATAGTAGCAAAAGTTATTTATTCATAAATAAAAACTAATATATAGTTTGTAATATATGCAACAAATTGAAAAAAGAAAAATGAAAAAAAAGTAAATAAAAAGCGAGTCAGATAATAAATCAAGAAGCGCTCTAAGAAAACCGTTCAAGAATTCTTTTCATTGTCAAAATTGTATTCTAAATTGTTTATGGATATTGTATATGCTCAAGATTGTTCAGGTATATGCATAATTGCGTATTTGGCGGCCAACACTATCATCGTTGATGACCGCTAAATTGATTGAAATACTTGTACAAATACATATGCATTTACATTTAAAATTAAACCAAGATAAGTTCCGTCTTCATTTGTATTGGTGCACACGTTTTAATAGCGTCTTTCCGTTAGTTTGCTGTGTTCAGTGCAAAGCTCTTAGTGACGTTTTTTCTTTTTTTGTTCTGCATGTGGTTGCTGTTGCTATACGCGGCGAATTGACGGCGTCACTCGCAACACCACATTGAAAAGCAAAAAGCTTTTTTCAATTCAAACAGTGATCAGCGCGTGACATTATCTGCTCTCTTCGCACAGGCACAAAAGTTTTGTTAACACATTTATTTGAATGAATAACAAATATGTATATACTTTATGTATATTGAATGAAAATTTTTTTAATAAGCTTAAATTTCACTTTCAAAAATACTTAAGTAAATACAAAAAAATAAAAATAAATTTATTATATAATTCTCACCTTAGGCTTACATTTAGTATAACAATTCAGAAATACGTAATAGTTTTAAATTGTATTAATAAATACGTATGTATATTAGCATAGCTGAACTATCTACTCTCTTGCAATTCATTCTCTAGTACAGGGTAACTAAAGAGCTTTGAACAGCTGTTTTATACTCGTCACATACCTACATAGTTGCCAATTTACAGCTATTAAAACGTGCGCGCCTAGCTTGTTTTCTCGTTCTCTCTTTCATTCTTTTGATATTCAGTGTTCTTGCACGTGCACGTGCGCAGCGCCTATTGTGTTCTT